CCTCCTTCTCCTCCTCCTCCTCCTCCTCCTTCTCCTCCACCTCATCCTCCTTCTCCTCCTCCCTATGTCTCGGGGGGCGAGAAGGAGCAGGAAGGCCGAAAGATGAGAATAGGCGGAGGAGGACGACGACGAGGGGGAGATGGGCCGGGAGGGGGGGAGGTGCAGGACGAGGCCGAGGCAGAGAATCCTCTCTCCTCCTCCAATCGCCCTCCCCCCCCTTTCCACCAGTCGGGTGTTCGTTAACTAATCGGGGGCTAAGAAACTTGGGGTGGAGCAGCGTGCACCGCTCGTGCCCTTTCTTTGGTCCGCGGGGTGAGTGGGCCGTTGAGGGCCCCTTTTGGAACAAATCTCACCAGCCCCCTGGGCGTAGGTGGCTCAACGAGTTTTCTCCTCTATGCCTCAAATCCATCGTTCCCCTTCTCTGGGGAGGGGTTTACCCCCTCCCCTGGGCCTGGGATGGGGGGGGGGCTGCGGATAGTTAGAGCGTCCACGATGGCTGAAGATGGTTCCCGGAGGGCCTCAGAGACCCCAAGATGGCCTCCAAGAAGGCTCAAGATAGCTCGACATGGCTCAAGATAGCCTCCGGCACACATCCAAGAGGCCTGAAGACGGCCCCAAGACGGTTTCAAGTGCCCTCTGCGCCCTCTAAAGATCCCCCCGCGAGGCAAACATGGCTCCCAAACCGACGGAACATGTATTATGTTTGCCTTCTCACATGTTCGCTTCCGATGGGCGTCGGACGCCTCCAGATTGCCCCAAGCTGGCGCAAGAGAGCCCCAAGATGAAGATGGATCCAAGAGGGCTCCAAGACGGCCCCAGAAGCGCCCATGAGCGCGCCCCCAGAAAAGCCCCAAGACGGCCCCAAGGCGACATGTTGGAGCCGACCCCCCCCTCTTTTGAACAGTTAGCCCCAAATTGCCTCTCGAGGCCTCCCCGACCCCCCCAAGAGCCCCAAGAGGGCCCGTAGACCCCCCAAAAGAGCTCCAAGAAGACCCCAAAAATGCCCCAAGTGGCTCCGCGAGGAACCAAAGAGTGACCCAAGAAGGATTCAAGAGGCCTCCGAGAAAACACCTCCAAGGCGGTTGTTACACTTTACGCTTTTACACTTCCCTGAGCAAGGCAACTCGCCTGGAAATTCGTTTCTGGAGGGGATGGTGGGGATGCGTGAAGCGTCCAGAGTTTCCCGCACCCCTCCGCCCACGCGACACATGTTCCAGTGTAGAGAGGCTGCATCCACCTACAGTCTCGGCAGTCCGCGCGGATCTCTTGCATTCGCGCCGAACTCCCACACGTTATGGTTATACAACTTTCTCCTACAGTAGGGGCCCGACCACAAGAGACCTTTCACAAGAACCCCAACCCTGAGACCAGAGGAAGTCCAAGGATTTGTTTGTGAAAGAACGTCACGCTCTCTATCGCATATCCATCGAAACCCAAGAAGCCCAGGGCACCCTGGAGGCAAGCAGGGTGTTTCTTGGCATGGGCCTCCACTGTAACGTCGACTCCCAGAGGTCTCGACCCATTCCCTGGGACCGATGTTTCGTCCTGACTCGTTGTTTGATGGTCCCGGGGCCCGCTGAGGGCCACCAGGGGCCGAACATAGCGAAAAACCTCCATTCGCGGTTTGCTCCTTCCCCCCGGGTGTTTCTTGGCATGGGCCTCCACTGTATGGCTATACGCCTTTCTCCTATTCAATGTTTGCCCCTGGGTCAGCACAAGCACGGGGTCGGCCAGGGCCCCCCGTCGCGAAGCACGGCCAGCCCTTCAAAAGTCATTATAGCTCCCGGCCCTGGGCCAGCGCAGGGCGGGGCAATGGGGCATCTGACTACCTACCAGACCACCCCAACCCAACCCGAAGACCCGATTTTCGGGTTGGGCGGGGTACGGGTTCCATATGTGTTTTCTGATGTTTCTCGACCCCCCCCACTGGAAATAGAGGGCAAATGCAGACCTTCGAGTTGGGTTGGGGTGGCTTGGTGGGTGGTGAGCATCGGCCCCAAGTGGCTCCCAAAGCCCAGGCTCCCCAGAGGGGATCGGCTGACACCTGAGCGAGGATCACAAGAAAGGTTCTTGCGCGAGATGGCGTCGCGACCTAAAAAATGGGTACCATGCACAACAGCAAATGTTGTCCCAAACCAACAGCGGCCGCTGTTGGGCAGGCGGCCTCCTGTCTCGAATGGACACAGGCCGCGGCGGCGCGGACAGCGAGCCCTGTTCAAAATGAACAAGATCCGCTGTTGGGCATTGTACCCATTCTTTCAGTACCCATGTCGTGCGTGCAGAACCTTGCGCGGTGGCTTGCGCGGGCCGCCGGCGCGGCGCGCCGTGCTGGAAGCGAGGGCGCCTACGCGCGACCTGACGCGGGCAGCCTCCGCTCACCTGTTAGCGCGGACCCCCGTGACGCGAGCCCCGATCTGGCGGACCGACGTCGCGACTTGCTCATGACGTCGACCCCCAGAGAAATCTGGGCCCCTTCCCCGGGGCAGGTTGGCTCTTCATCCTGCGTACGGCAGGCCTGTATCAGGGGGACGTAAGACCTGGGTACAGGGGACTCGGAAATCCCCGACGAGGTCGTCAAGAAATGACGAGGCCGAGCCTGCATTTTGACGAGGCCTCCTGCTGCAGACATCCAACGGAACTCCTCCTCGTCAAAATCCGAGGCGCGGTCGTCAAAAAACGATGGCGAACCCGAGTCCTGGCAAACCCGGGTCTTACGCTCCCCCGAATCCTGCGTACGCCCGGCCTGTATCATGAGGAAGCGCGACAAGGGTGCAAGGGCCTCCGAAGGCCATCTCGAGGCTTGTCGAGGGGGGCGCGGCCAGCGAAAGTGGCCAAGGATGGGCCGAGGAGGCAAGGATGCAAGGGTACCCTTGGGCTGGTGGCCCATCCTCACTGTGCGGATCCACTGTACATGGTTGGCGGTCCCAGGCCCGGGGAGGGCCCCTGGAGGCCAAAGATAGAGAAAAACCGGCCGTCGTGAGCTCTTGCTGCCCTCCCGTTGCCGTCCGCCCGAGCCAAGATCGGGGATCTCCTGGCCCGGGTCCACCCAGACCCGGGTCAGGCAGGCTTTGCAGAATCCTGCAAGATCCTGCACCCAAGCCAGGGTCCATGCGAAGGACCCTGGCAGATCCTGCAGGATCCTGCACCCAAACCAGGACATCAGTGCGACCCTGGCCCAACAGGATCCCGCAGAATCTGGCGCTCTGGCTGACCCCCGTTTCAATTGACCCCCGTCCCAAGGCTCCCGACAGAAGGGCCGCCTCCACCTCCCGGCCACCTCGCCGCCAGGCCTGGAGTGCGTTCTGAGGAGCAGGCCAGTGTCAGCGCACCGCGGTCGAGGACCGCCCACCCCGAGCGCGCGCTCGCCCTGCGGGATTCCAGGCTTCGGGCCTCGATCGGCGATGCAAGATGTCGGGTGTTTCGAGGCCTTCTCGAAAAAAAAAAGAATTCCGTCAGGTTCTTGTCGTGCAGACTTCGGCGTTGGTTTCTGTCGTTTAATCTTGACGATCGACCGTTTCCGAAACGTCCAAATCATTCCACATCGAACGATTCTGGGTCGCCCGCGGCGTTCAAAGCTGAACGCCGCTGGCGGGGTCGCCGCCGGTCGACACGACACGAACCTAGCGCACCATGACCAAGAGGATGGAATCGATGAGAAAGCCAGGCTGGGGGGAGCAGGAGAGACCCAAGTCCGCTTGCCAACGACTCTGGCCCGTCGCAACTGCAGCAATGATTCGAGGACGACTGTGTGACCGGGCAAATATGGAGTCTAAGAGGGGCGCCACCTGAACAAACCATCCTTTCTTGGCCAGGGCTCGAATTGAGCATGTTAGCTCGCTCCTCCCAGCTCACGCAATACCAATCACTAGGACACCAGCAGGAACACGAAACACGACGCGAATACACCTGATGCAGTTGAGCGGCGCTGGAAGCGCAGTCCTGCCTGTTGCGACGATTCTCCTGAAACAGCGGCTCATGTGCGCAAGTGCACATGACATGTCAAGAGATGTGTCTCCGATGGATTACTGACAACTCTGCTAGCACTCCCACGTGCCATCAACAACCAGCATCGCATGCATGCGTCTACATCGACCACGACTGCTGAATTCCAGTGTTCACCGAAGCCGTCCTCATATATCCAGGCTCGTGAGCAAGCCTGAGCCATTGTGATGATCCAAGTGTGTCCTGAAGGATTCCAGCAAATTGGCAGATGCGTGCGACAGCTTATGCAGCATGCATAAACAATATCAAGGACGAAAACTGCGGCTCCAACGATGAACACGTTGTATCTGAAAGAGCTCGATTTGACACACCTACTGGAACATGCGAGAGGCTGGGTCGCATGGCATGTGAGGCGTGGTACGCGCAAAAATGCACTGGCATGTAAAGATTATCTATTATGGATGACATGTTCAACTGTAATCGTTACACAAGAGAGCAACTACACATGGCCACCAACTCAGCGAAACTATGCAAAAAAGAAGCGTGTATATGGTGAATCGGGGCCAACATATTGATAGCTGACCGGCACCAACCACGATGATCCGCGACCGTGCCCTGAAAACGAAGTGAAGTGCCCCAAGGCTTACAGCTGTGCTGCGACTGCAGCCAGGATTCTAGATTCTCAGGGGCCAGAGCCCCCAATTTTATCAGGCACGGCCAGGCGTTCTTGGGCGTTATTGGGTGTTCTTGGGGCTTCTGAGGTGTGCCGCGAGGGTTCCAGGACGGCCCCCTCGCTCAGGAGGCCCCCAAGAGGCCTCCGAGCCCCCAGGAAGCTCCCATGAGGCCCCAAACATGACGCAAGAGCATCAAGAGAGATCTCCTCATCCTTTTTCTTCTCCTCTTCCTCCTCCTCCTCCTCCTACACCTCTTGTTTCCTCCCTCTCCTCATCCTCCTCTTTATCGCACACGAGTTCCCCGAAAGGTTTCCACAGCAGCTCGAGGAACGCCTGGTCCGAACGTTTGTTCAAGCTCTGGACCGAAATGTTTGGCCACAGGGGCGCTTTTCAAAAAGGCAGGAAGCGGCGGTGATTCGCCGTAGGCGTCTTCGATCACGACAACGGCAATTCGAATGTGTGCTTTTCATCGTCTTACGACGATTCGCGCAAAGCCAGCCTATCCTGTACACCATCCACATCATCGATCGGCGTGCCGCTAAAAATTTATCAACAAACGCTCGCAGACCAATATCAGATCGCCGCTCAGCCAGATTGGCGAGGGCATGAACAATAACACTGGCACATAAGCTGAGTTGGACGATTCTGTGTGTCCAACCGGCTACATGCACACTGTACTATTCTCGTGGAGTCTAACAGAGAAAAGCAACAGAACATGTGAGTGATAGGGCCAATTATCATGGCCAGGCTGAGTATAATAATGCGAATGCGGTTGATGATACATGAGAGTAATACGTCTGATAGAAATAATGGCCAATCCGCTGACCCTGCGAGCGTCTCCTGTCCCTGCGGCCACCCTGGGGCCCCGCACTCATGAGTTCTCCGTCCTTTCCCTGCGGTCACCTGGGTTTTTTTAGGCTCCACGACACGATGTGAATCGATCCAGGTCGTGATCGAGTCGGAAAGAAGCGAAGCCCCGTCCATTCGATCACTTCCCAGGCCGGGAGGGCGGGGGCAGGGGGGGTAGGGGATTCGGGGGGGAGCCTGAGGGGGTGCCCCCTCCTGCCAACCCCGTCCGTGAAGTCACTCGAGGGAGATTTGGGCCCATTTGGCCATGTTTGGGCCGCCCAAGCCCGCAACAAAAACCCATCGGGGCCAAGCTCGGCTGACCTCGGCGCTCTTGGGACTCTTCGGGGTCCGTCGGACCGTGTCGGAGCCCTGGGGTCCGGTCCAAAGAGCCCCAATCACTAGAAACCCTTATGTTTAGGTCGTGCGTGTCCACCTACAGGTACAGGACAATTTTGGACGATTATTAAGTAATAGTCACAAAATATTCGAACATATCCAGAAATAGTTAAAAGATGGTCTCCAAAATATTGTTTGACTGTTTTCGAATATTCCTCCTGTAGAGAGACGTGCCCGACTTAACCTTACGTGTCTGCGTGAAGTTCGTGTTCGCCGCGCGGGTCGCAAGAGCGTCCCAGGCAACCAAAGATCGGCGGTCGGCCCCATAAGGAAAGGTGAGAGGGGCCGGGCCTTCAGCGAAGCTGTCGAGGCCTCATCCGAAGGCTCCGAACACTTCTCACGAGGCCGGAGGGCTTCCGAGAAGCCCCGTCGCCTTCTGACCAGGCCTCTTCCTTCTCGCTTCCCTTCCCTCCCTCGCCGCCGAGAAGGAGCCCGCAAGAGCAACCAAGCAGCGCACAAGAGGCACCCAGCAGAGCCCAAAGAGGCCTCCAAGACAACCCTACCAAGGGCCGAGCTAGCTCGCCGCCGCCTCGTCGATGGAAGCCAACCCATCAACCATGAAGCACCGAGAAACCCGACCAAACACCGGAAATTGGCGGCGCGCGGAGGGAGGTAGCGGGAAGGGGGCAGGCTTCCGAGAAGGAGGCTGCGTCTCAGAAGGCGCCAGCCCTACATCTATAGACACGGCCCGCCACCAAGGCCACCATGCAGCTTCAACAAGCAAACCCAAAGCCCCCCAGAGTTGGCTCAGGCGCAATTGAAAGGGCCCTGGGACACACAAATACATACACACAAATAAAAAGATGCCCCATATTTTCCCATATGTTATTGGTTTCTGTCTTCCCCCCACTTCCCATATTTTCTTATATTTTCTGGGGAATCGACGATTAATTGTGTCTGTGTGTTTTTTCCCCTCCTGAGCAATTGCAGGGAGGAGCCGAGGGCCGTTGGTCTGTCATTCTCGCACTGGGGCGGCCACTGCGCCCCGCCCCCACCGCCGTCGCACGCCCGCGTCTTCTACTTAAAAGCTGTGCTCGTCTGAGGGGCAGCGGAACCAGCCGCAAGTCATCTGCAACGCAAGGGCTGTCATTACGAGTGGGCATACGAGTGTGACCACCCCGGCAACAGCAAGGGCGATGGCAGGACTGAGCGATCCTACCTGAAGGAGCAGCTACACCTGATGAAACGAGCCAAACCAAGCACTACCGACGCAATCAACGCAAGCCCCGCCGATCAACGCCAAGCCAAACAAAGCTGGGATGAACCGAACAACGGGAACACACACACACACACACACCTTTTTTCGTCCTGCGGCGAGGTGACGAAACCGTCGCGATGCGCTAAGCCGGGTCATCCTTCGGCGAATTACCACCTGGCGTAGCAAATGGACAGACTGGCAAAACGTCGGCGATCACATGCACAAACACACGCGTGCTTTAACTTCCTGGCCGGCTGATCCAACGCAGCAAATTCTATGGGGCGGGACACGCCTGCATCAATGTACAGCCAGGCTTTTGCCGGTGGAAGGTCGGAACGTGGCCGACGCGCGCGAAGAAAAAGCGGGCCGAAGCCCGCGCGCGAGGGAGACGGCGACGTGCAGGCGCAAGAACTGATCGGCGCCGCCACCGACCGCGTCTCGTGTGAGAGCGCGGGGCGAAGGCAACAGGGGGCAGGGACACCGACTGCTGCGGCGAGGGCGCGCCCACCACGTGGACGACCCAGACGACCAGCAGCAGCAGGAGGGGGAGCGGCATCTGGGAACGGAGACGAAGCCGGAAGTAACCAGCCTCGAACGTATCCCTATCCCTAAGATGGGCGAGCAAAAAGCGAGGACAATCTTCGGGATATGCCCTCAAAAACTGAGGGAATCCTTAAGATCGGCATCGAGGTGAGGTGATGTCAAAGATAGGGATATGGATACGTTTCAAACTGGTAAGGAAGGGAAGACGGAGGGCAAGCGGAGGGAGGCGACCGACCACCCGAGGGGAGAGGACGCAGCCCGGAGTCGCGGCGACAGCCCGAGGGACGAGCAGGAGAAGGGGCGCTGAGGAGCGACGCAGGACGGCGAAGGCACGGGGGGGACACACGCGCACACGCACACGCACACGCACACACACACACACACACACAACGAGCATCCGACGCAAACTCATCGAAGGCAGCTTGAGCGTCGAGCCCGAGGAGCCCACCACTTCTCTCACGGAGCACCCGCCCTAAAGCCCGCCTGGGGCCGTCTCCTGAGGATCCTGAAGGGGCCCCAGGACACACAAATAAATACACACAAATAATAATATTCCCCATATTTTCCCATATTGTTATGGGTTTTTGTCTTCCCCCCCACACTTCCCATATTTTCCCATATTTTTTTGGAAATCGACGATTATTTGTGTCTGTGTTTTTTCCCCTCCTGGCTCCGGCGCAATTGAAGGGGCCCTGGGACACACAAATACATACACACTAATAAAAAGATGCCCCACATTTTCCCATATGTTATGGGTTTCTGTCTTCCCCCCCACTTCCCATATTTTCCCATATTTTTTCGGGGAAGTCGACGATGATTTGTGCCTGTGTGTTTTTTCCCCTCCTGGGGATCCCCCTGCACCCGCTCTAGGCGAGGAGGGGCCTCGCGCCGTCGTGGCCCGGAGCGCGCGCGGCCCCGCCGAGCCCGGCACGGAGGGGCGCGCCCCGACGCGGCGCCGACCACCAGCTTCGCCAGCACCGAGAACTGACCACCTGACAGACCCTCTCCTCCTCCTCCTCCCCCTCCTCCTCCTCCTCCTCCTCCCCCTCCTCCTCCCCTCTCCTCCCCCTCCTCCTCCCCCTCCTCCTCCTCCTCCTCCTCCTCCTCCTCCTCGACCACCCCAACCCAACCCGAAGACCCCGAATTTCGGGCTGGGGGGGGGGTACGGGTCCCATCCGTGTTTTCTCTATGTTCCCAGGACCCCCCCCCCCCCCCGCTGGAAACGGAGGTCCATTCGAGGCCTTCGGGTTGGGTTGGGGTGGTTTGGTGGGTGGTGACAGACGCGGCTCCGACCACCAACTTCGCCAGCACCGAAAACGCCAGGGCCTCCGCCGAGACCTGCAGGACCGTCCCGGCGATGGCCCGCACGTCGGAGTGCTCCGTCGCACACAGCGGCGGCGCGCTCGTGGACAGCGTGGTGGTGGTGGCGGTCTCGCTCGGAGGGCCCTGCCACTTCACACCCAAAGCAACGAGCGTCAACGCCCCTACGGCTAGGTGACGAGCACCAGATGCGCCCCGATCACCGGACGCATCTCTGGTAGTAGAATGATCCCCTGAATGTGCAACATACTGCACGAAGTTCATCAGCAACATGAACATATACAGTGCGATCTGAGCTTCTCTCTGGTTGCTGGCCGTCCCGCCCGACCATGTTGCAAGGATGACAGCGACATCCTCCATGAGCCCGAGCGGCTGAATCAAGATGCAAGTAACGATGTCTGGAACAAATTTGCGTTGGTGCATCGTCGTTGCTGGGCCGGACCAGATCATGAAATGCCCTGCGAGCACTGCTGCGGCAGCTGCACTTGCGTTGTCACCTACGTCCACCCTCTTTGCGGCAAAGAACGCCGGCTCCATGAAGAATGGGCGCACCCAGAACGAGAAAGGCAAGTAGTCCGTAGCAAAGCTGGCCCACTCCGTGGCGAGAAAGTCCTTCCCAGGGCAGTAGCGGCTCGCCACCATGTCGAGAAAAGGCACAATAGCTCCCGCTGGCATGCTGCACGCCAAGAGGTAGAAGGCTCCGAGATCCGCCTTCGCGCCTTCATCACGCAAAGGAGCACCCGCGGGCTACGGTAGGCTCGTGTCGTGTCGGTGTCGGCGCTGGTTTCTGATGCGCGTGGATTGCGCAGCCTCACCTTCACCCCCCCCTCCCACCCCGCGGCCGCCCGAACGATCACAACTTCCCGAGAACGCAGATCCTCTGGCATCGACCGATTCCATGCCGCTGGCGGCGTTCAAACTGGAATGCCCGCGCTTGGGTCGCCGCCGCGCCGGCGCGATGGGAACATGCAGCACACATGGGAGCACTCGAAGCACTGTGATATATTATGACTGGAAGAGCCCCGAGCCCCAGTTTGCCAGACTTCTCGGGCACTCTGGGGGTGTCTCGCGTGACCCTTCTGGAAGTGAACCCGCCCAACACGAATGCAAGATCCCGCAAGCACCCCAGAAGGAGCTTCCAAAGGCACTGGAGGCCCTCAGAAGCCCCAAGGAGCCCCGAAGGACCCCAGGAGGCAAAGGAGGCACAGCAAGAATGTCGCACATCACGTGTGTTTCCCCGTCATGCTCTCCTCCTCGGCTTCTCGGCTCAGCGTGGCTTCCAGATCACCCGACAGGGCCCCGATGGCCACCCGCGCTGGCCCACGAGGGGCCCCGGAGCCCGAGACGGCTCCACACGGTCCTGCGGAAGGCCCCGGCCGACCGGAAGCGCCGCCCCCCCCAGAGGTCCCCGGGAACGCCCCGACGGCCAGGAGGGCCTACTTCGGCGATGGACAAACCTCCCTTTAGTATGGGACCGAAACCGACGGACCTGGACCCGCAAAAATAACGGCCGCGACGCCCCCTCGCGAACCGAAAACGGCCAATTCCTTAATCGACGTGTCAGGCTAGGTCTATCCGCCTCCGACTACTGCAGACCCCCAGGCAATCTCCAAGCTGTGCCTCCGAAGCCCTTGGGGGATCCCGAGATGCTCTCTGGAGGGACCAATCACCAACCTCCGACTTGCCCCTATGCCTGAGACCGGCAAGCCCAGGGCGACGACCATCTCAGGGATGTGCCCTCAGAAACTGAGGGAATCCTTGGGATCGTCACCGAGGTAAGCCGATGCCAGACACAGGGACAGGGATATGTTCCAAGCTGGTGACCCAGGAGGCCTCTAGCAGCCCTCGCAAACCGGGCACGGTGGGCGGGACGGGCCGCAGGCAGCTGGCTACTCTTCGCCCTGGTCCTGCGACTTCGCGATGAGGTATGCAAAAGCAGGGGAAGTGAAGGGGAGCACGTTGCTCACGATAAGCCGCACAACCATCAAGGCACTTATGCTGAAGAAGCGCGCCAAATAACACATCTCCCTGTTCAACTCGGCCCATCCCACGAACGTGTTCTGCATCGTGCATTTGAGTGCCTGCCCGCGTTCGTGAAAAATGAACATGCCCAACATGAACGTCACAATGATAGGCCAATTGATCTGAATCACCTTCTTGAAGCCCTCAATATGATCGCTTGGCGCCTTCTTCCATATGTCAATCAACCAGTCTCTGGCACCGTGGTACGCGGTTGGTGCCCCCCCGTAGACTTTGTCTGCGATGGCCAAGGCGACCTCGTCAGGAGCGTAGATGAGGCGAGAGCCATGGGCAAGGCACGGCACAAGGATGTGGCTGAACAGAATCGTCCCGCCAAACTTGTGCAGGCCATCGCGGGTCGCTCTGATCTGCTCTTCGAGACTCTCGTGGTACTTCAGACTGGGGGTCTCAAGCTTGATCTGATCTTCGAGATGCTCGGGCCCCCTGGGCTCAACATTCCTGCCGTTCAAGAGACCCTCCGCAGGCCATGCTGCTCCCCCTGGCTCCGTGGACTTGTCCGGCGACGTCTGTCCAACACCCGCTTCCGCATGTGACGCCGCTGGCTGCGTAGGTGCCACCTGCTCTGTTGGACTGAAAGCGTGGAATCGGGTCGGCGACGCATCGAATCGAACGGGACCCGGATCGCATGCGTCAGATCGGACGGAAATCTTAGAAACAACTCGGGGAAACTTTGGTCGTCCCCCATGGCGCCCACTACCGCGTCCAGTGGCGCGCAGAGCGGACTTACTGCATCTCCTTCGTATGGCGCCACTGGGTGCTACTGGGCGTCCTGTGGCCACTACTTGGATTATTCGGCGCTGCCGGGCGCTACTAGGACGCCTTTTGGCACTAGTGGGCGCTCTATTGGGCGCCATTCGCCGATCCCTAACCACATCCAATTCAACACGAGCGGACGCTTCCACGATCTACCATCTAATTGCATCCTCCTCCTCCTCCTCCTCCTCCTCCTCCGCGTCCTCCTCATCCTCCTCCTCCTCCTCCGCCTCCTCCTCCTCCTCTTCCTCCTCCTCCTCTCCAAGACATCGCCAACAAGAGCTGGATCGACTCGGCAGCGGAGCGCCCAAAATTACAGCCCGCACGCGGAGCCGAGGCGGAGGAGGCATAGGCCCGCCCTGCCGGTCTCGACGGGCTCCCGTCGTAGCGCGCTCTGGTTAGGTCGGGGATGTCCCCGTACAGGCGGATTTGGGCGAAAGATGAAACATACGCCAAACGTGCTCAACAAAATAATAAAAAATAGTCAAAACATCGACCCCAGACTATTTCCCAACCAAGCTGTGTTGTTGGGTCCTGTTTTGAAGGAGACGGTCCCCGCGTCTCCTCCTCCTCTTCCTCCTCCTCCCTCCTCCCATCCTCTCATCATCATCATCATCATCATCATCATCATCATCATCATCATCATCATCATCATCATCATCATCATCATCATCAGCATCGTCAGCATCGTCGTCATCGTCGTCATCGTCGTCATCATCATCATTCATCATCATCATCATCATCATCATCATCATCATCATCATCATCATCATCATCATCATCATCATCATCATCATCAACATCATCATCATCAACATCAGCACCATCACCCCCAAGTGCAGCGTTTCGTGGCCCCACGGGGAACGCCACCGAAGGTCCCCGTGGCGCAGTCCGCATGCGTCTCCCCCACCCAGTACAGCGCTTCGTGGCCCCATACCGGAGCTCCACCGAGGGTGATGATGATGATGATGATGACGATGATGATGAGGCTGGTGATGATGATGAGGCTGCCGAGGATGATGACGATGAGGAAGATGGAAATCGTGATGATGATAATGATGATAGTAATGATGATGATGATGATGATGATGATGATGATGTTGCTGTTGATGTTGATGATGATGATTGTGATCGTGATGATAATGCTGATGATTGGGAGTGGTGATGATGACGACGAAGATGATGATGACCGTGATGATGAAGATTATAAGGATAATGCTGATGACAATAAGGATAAGGGTGGTGTTGTTGATGATGATGATGTCGATGATGATGGTTATGATCATGGTGATGGTGCTGATCATGCTGATGATGACGATGATGCTGATGACGATGGTGATGATGATGCTACTGACGATACTGGCGACGACGATGATGATGCTTGTGTTGTTGATGATGGGGATTGTGGGAATGATGCTGATGATGTTGGTACTGATGATGCTGACGATGATGATGACCATGCCCCTGATGATGTTGTTGGTAATGATACTGATGCTGGCAATGATCATGATAATGATGGCGATGATGATGCGGATGGTGATAATGATGATCGTGATGATGATGCGGATGACGATGACGATGATGATGCTGATGAGAATGCGGGTGATGGTGATGATGATACTGTTGATGATGGCAATGATGATTACGATGATGGCGTTGATGATGGTGAATATGATGAGTACGATCATGAATAATGTGGCGGTGGTGATGATGATGGATGATGATGAGGATGAGGCTGAGGATGACGATGATGATAGTAATGATGAGGACGAGGGTGATCATGCGGACTAGGATGAGTATGACTATGATGATGCTGATGGTGTTGTTGTTGCTGATGCTGATGCTGACGTTGATGCCGTTATCGATGTTGATACTGATATTGTGATATTGATGCTGATGATTTGCTGATGATGGTTATGGTGCGATCGTGATGATGAGGGTGAGATGAGGAGAGACCTAATAACAGAGAGGGGATGCATCTTACTGCGCGGGGTGGGGTCCAGAGGAGACAAGAACTCCACTTAGGATGTCTAGAACAACGCCCTCCTCCCTCTCGGGTCTAATCATTTGGCTCCTCGGGTCGCACAGGGCTTGGCTCACCTCCTGTGCTCCTGGCCCTCGCTTGAATCAACTTGGATGCGACTTGCGCAGCCCCTGGCGCATGAGGACCGCGCGTCAAAAATTCGTTGACCGCCTCGGGCCCTGCAGGTCCCACAGCGCGGGCTCCCCATACGGCCTGCCCCCCATCTGGGGCCTCCCTTAAGGGCCCCCCACAAACGGCACTCGTGGCTGCAAGACCTCCCTTCGGACGCCTCTCGGCACACACACACAGACATCGAAGGCGCTCTGGCTTCGCACACGCTGCGGCATCGGGAAAAGACATCGCATCGGGAGGCCTGCGGCAAGGTGGAGTCCGAACTGACATCAGCCCACGCAGATCGGCTCTGTGCGGAATCGAAGCCCGAAGGGGGAGTGCCAAAATCGTCATCCAATGTCTTGCTTTCTTCCACTCGGGATCCTCGGAAGTCTCGACCCACTCCGAAGACAGGTCGTTTTTTTGACCCGGAGCCCGGCGAAGGCCCCCAGCAGCCGAGCACATCAAAAGAACCGTCTGCCATGATTTTTTGCTCACGCCGCGCAATGACGGGGCCTGGGAACCGCATCGGACTGGACCAGGACCGAGCCTGGCGAAGGCCCCTTCCTTGAAAACTAGCGGGCGACGAACGGTATAGAATAAACTTTTCCGTCACAGGCGGCGCTACCCCAGGGCGGCTGGAAAATCTATACCCTGACGTGCCACTGGAAGGGTACAAACTTTCCAGCCGCCCTGGGGCAGGCGCCCCCGACAGCGAAAAAGTGTATGTTATACCGTTCTTCGCCCGTTTCAAAAAAAGAAAACAAACAATGGCATAAACATGACAACTCGTATGTCCGCGCGAATTTCTCGGATCGGCATTGGACCCCCCTCCTTGGCGCGCGGAGCGCGCCAGGGGCGGCGCCGGAGGCGCCGCCAGGGGACTCCAGCGCCGAATCGAGAAATCCGCGCGGACCTCATTTTTTTATGTTTATGTCATTGTTCGTGCCCCTAAACGACAAACGTCCGCCGTGCTTTTTTCACGGCGTGAGGGTGTCCTGGGGACTGGATCGGACTTGAGCAAGGACCGACCGTCCCGGCATTCCTATAGGCCTACCACGAAATGCTCTTTAGACCCGAGAATGTTCTATGGACAAAAACAATGTTCTGAGAACATAACCCCGATGTGTTAAAACAAGACGGTCCCAGCCAGAAATGCTCCTAAGAACATTTCGTGGAAACCACAACAGGCTCTTCGAACATTCTTGGGTGGGCCTCTAGGCACGCCATGACGCTGCGCCACTGCTTGACTCGGGAGCGGCCAAGAGGGGGGTGTCCAAGAGGGGGGGGGTGCGAATCATGGCCGGCGGCATGTGCGCGGCCCAGCGGGGGGGCCAGGGACGCAATGAAATAAGAAGAGGCGCCCCGAAATCTGGGGAGATATCATTGGCCCCCGCCATGATATCCACCCCCCCCTAGTCATCACCCCCCTCTTTTCCGCCCCCGATTGACGGACTGGGCCAGGGCCGAGCCTGCGCCAACGCCGGCGGGCCGCTGCCGGTCCCGGCGGCGGCCCTCGGGCGCCCTTCCTGGCTGCGGGACGCCCCGGAAGTGCCGGCGACTGCAGGCGGCGCCAGCCTTGCCGCCTCTCTGCTGCACGCCAGCTTGCCGTCGCTCGGACGTCCATTCCCCGTGCATGTTTCGGTTTCGTGCGTGTTTTTTTTGCTCGATGGTCCAGGATGGTCTCGATGGTTCTCGCCGAGAAAAAATGCACACGTCCGAGCGATGCCAAGCCAGAGGGACCCGAGGCAAGAGTGACCTCTGGTGCGCGGCTGTAGGGGGCCTCGGTTTTGGGGCCCCAGATGCAAGGGCGTGCCCGCACCGAGCCACTCCGGCGAAGGGTCCCTCTAGTACGTGCAAGCGACGCCTCTGGCCAGGCGCCTTTCGGCGGCGCGGGCTCCGGCGCCGGGGCCCCTGCCAACGGTGCTGCCGCTGGCCTCGTTCTCTGCACCGGCTCGTGGCCGCTGATGAGGTACCACGTGGTGCCATTATCCCACCTGGGCGACGAAAGCGAGCGGGTCCTACTCGAGAGGACAGCGACATTACGCCGCGGCTCACGCGGGCTGCCAGCGGGACGCACCGCGTGGTGGACAAGGGAGCGTTGACGCGCGGCCTTGCGCGTGAAAAATTTACGCGCACATGTCTGCGCCGTCGACTCCGTTTTTTTTCGTCGCTCACCAGATCCCGGCTGGCTGGAGGTACCCACGAATCTGCGAGTGGGGGAAGTCGGCGTGCAAGTGACAACGTGGCCAGTCGCCAGTGACAACGTGACCAGTCGCGGCCAGAATGAATCTCAACGGCTCGTCAGTATGCTCAAGTATCCAGATGTCTGGACCCAGAAACGACAAGGGCTTCCTCCTGATAGTGTACTTGACCCCATCGGACTTGATGTAGACTCCATCGAAAACCGGCATGGCAGGTCGGCGCCCCCACGAGTTTTGACGCACCTGGGCGCAGTGCAGTTGAGGCCTGATCCGTCGAATATTTGAGCCAAACTCGTCACGGGGCCGAGCAGGCGCACTTATTCTACACTCTGCGGAATGTAAATCACCATGTTCCCCATTCTTCTTCACCCCCCAGGCCCCCTTGGTATGCTTTGGAGTGGCCACGCTTGTATTTCAGCCAATCCAACTGCAAGTGGCAAACCCAAGCCACCTGCCAACGCTGCATCGGGGCAACTTCAAAACCGTTCCGCTCTGGGCTCCTCATGGTGCTGCCATTATTCTGCCATGGTTGCCCTTGGGCCAGTCTACCAACATCTCGCGGCCCCCCCAGGCTGTATGTAAAGATGCTCTGGATCGCGACTGGTACACCGATGCCGTGGACCAAAGTCTCTTGGGCGGTGCGACGCTTCAATGCTGCGTTCCACGGCTCTCCGAGACTTCCAACCCGGCCGAGGAAAGCTGCGGCCACCGTTGGCGGCGCGCAGAGTGCGGTAGGGGGAGGGGGGAAGGCATCTTAGAAGGAGGCTGCTTCTCCCCAAACCCCCCTCTGCGCGTGGCCGACCAATGAGGACGTCCAGTCGCCTCCAAGGCGGCCCAAGACAATCCTAAAGCGGCACACCACTGGCCCAGGACATCCCACGACTGGGGAGACGTAAGACTCGGGCACGGGGGACTCGGATTGGCCTGACGGGGCCATCATGGAAATTTGGAGACCCAATCTAAACTTTGACGCAACCTCCCGCTGCAAACATCCAAAATAATCGGACCGTCAAGATACAAGGCGCGCTCGTCAAAAAACGTCGGCAAACTCGAGTCCTGGCTTACTCGAGTCTCACACGTTTCCCCGATAAAGCGGCCCACCACTGGCCCAGGACATCCCACGAGGGCCCCCAATCCCGACGACGATCCCAAGAGAACCTGTGGGGAGGCAGAAAGGTGCTGATCCCCAGACCTCTCCCGGGATACGCTCTGACCAAACTTCCGAAACGAATCCAGCAGTGGCGGCAAGGGGCCCCCGCAGGAGCCCCGGCAACGACGAAAACGAGGCAAGGGTATCGGATGATATCGATGCCTTTGAACACCCTGACTCCCAATCGAAGATCCGCGGATCCCGCCTTTCGCCCCGAGGCCGTGCCGCAACCTGGCGCAATGACCTCGATGTCGAAACATTCGGCCAAAACGAAACTGTAGCAAAAAGCGTCCCGTCACTAGGTACGGGCGGGTGGTAATGGGGGGGGGGCACATGGGGGGTACACTGGGGGCCCGACCACAAGAAACCTCCCACAAGAAACCCAACCCTGAGACCCCAGGACGCCCATCGAATTTTGGCGTGGGAACGCCATGCTTTCCATGGAAAATTCATCGAAACCCAAGAAACCCAGGGCACCCTGGAGGCAAGCAGGGTGTTTCTTGGCATGGGTCTCCACTGTAAAGAAAAGGACCCCAAAGGGGCCCTTTACGGCCCCTTTGGGCACCAACTGGCTCCAAAAGGGGCCCTAAAGGCCTCCCTCAGGGCCTGTTTCGTACCGCCCGCCCGAAATGTTCGGGGGCGTCCAAGAGGGGCGTGTGCAAATCATGGCCCGAGGCATGTGCGAGCACCAGGGGGGGCCAGGGAACGTATTGAAATAAGAGGAGGGGCCATGAGATCCCCCCCCCCCACCCCCCAGTCTTCACCCCCCCCCTCCGCTCCCGAACTGCCCCATGACCCGAACGGGGTCCCGGCTTTTGAGCAGGGACCGACCGTCCTGGCATTCCTATAGGCCTACCACGAAATGCTCTTAGAACCGAAAACTGTTCTAAGAACAAAAACAATGTTCTGAGAACACAAACCCGATGTGTTAAAACAAGACAGTCCCAGCCCGAACTGTTCTGAGAACACTTCGCGGGAACCACAAAAGGTTCTCAGAACATTGCTTGGAGGGGCTCTAGGCGAGCCGGGACGCTTCGCCACTGCTTGAGGCTTGCCTGACCGGGGGCCTGCGCCAGCCAGGCCTCCCGCCGCCGACCCGGCTGCCTCTGCCGAGGGCGCCCCCCACGCGCTGGCCGCCGAGGAGCGCGGCCCGTGGGCCTGTGGCCCACGGGGCGCCCCCCTCTGCCGTGTGGCCGCTCGCCGGCGGGCTCCTCGCACCCTCCCAGAGGGCCGTGGCCCTGCGACGCGGGGCCGCGGTCGGGGTCGGGCGCGTGTGCTCCTAGAGGTGGATCTTGGCAGACTGGTGGCAACTGGTCAGAGAAATGCTCAACCATAGCCAGACATAGTAGAGACATCGTCCCCAGGCTTTTTTTGTTGTTTTTTCCCTGCGCAACCTGCACACCTGCTGGCTGACACCGACCATCGCCTTTGGATGGGCTGCCCGAGTCTTGGCTGCTGAATGGCATCGTCCCCGGGCTATGTTGGACTATTTGTTGGACATCCCTCGTGCAGAGGGACATGCCCGACTTGAGGCCACGCGGGCAACGCCATCGCCACAGCGCCCCAGGAAGCCGTCCAGCCATAGTAGAGACATCGTCCCCGGGCTATGTTGGACTCTTCTTGGACATCCCTCCTGCAGAGGGACATGCCCGACTTGAGGCCACGAGGGCAGCGCCCTCGCCAAAGCGCCCGAGGAGTAAGCCGTCCCGAAAAAGGGGGCGGGGAGCCCTCCCGGGGTGCGACAAGGTGCCAACCGCCCAGAGCTCGGGCCCACGGCAGCTGCGGGCCGAAGGCCTGCTACTGAGCCTGCTGCTGCAGAACTAACAGCACACGTGTATCGGAGGATGCATTGAACATAATCGCAACAAACATTCAAAAGTGGTCAAACGATCACGACATCGTCACCTGACTATGTCGTAACTAACCATGCTGGAATGTTCCTCCCGTAGAGGGACATGCCCGACTGGAGATTATGGTTGTGCAGTCCCCTCTTCTTCAGGACCGAGGCCGAAAGCAGCGTGCACGCGACAACTGCGGGCCGATTGCCTGGCGTCAGCATCCGAGTAGGAGATCGACTACAGACTCAATTCGCCCCAACCCTGATCCCTCGTCGACGCTGCAGGAATGATGCAGAGTTCTCCGTAGGTCCAAGCAGCACTCGACGTATTCTTAGTAGAACCGACAGCATGTTCAATTCTGAAAGGGAATGCAGTAGGAGCTCGACCACAATAAACCTTTTCCACGAGAAACTCAGTCCTGAGACCCCAGGACGCCCATGGATGCTTGGTGTGGGAACGTCAAACTGCCCACAACTTTGGACGCCCGAAATGGGTACAGAAAAAATGGGTACAATGCCCAACAACAAATGCGGTTCCAAACCAACAGCGGCCGCTGTTGGGCGGGCGGCCTTCTGTCGCAAATGGACACAGCCTGCGGCGGCGAGGACAGCGAGTCCTGTTCAAAATGAACAGGAACTGCTGTTGGGCATCGTACCCATTCTTTCCGTACCCATTTCGGGCGTCCAGAACAGCGAAACCATCGAAGAGCCCACGGAAACCCCAGGGGCACCCTGGAGGCAGGCGGGGTGCCTCTCTTGGCGTGGGCCTCCGCGGCCCTGTTTTTAAGTCGGGCGTGTCCCTCTACAAGGGAATTTTCGACGAAAAATAAAACATGCCACAAACATATGTTTTAAAAAGTGTCCAAAAATAGCCTGGGGACTATTGTTTGAATAGTTGTTGGCCATTTGGGGGCATTTTGTTGGGGCGTTTTCTTTTATTTTTCGCCCAAAATCCCCCTGTAGGGGGACCCGCCCGACTTAACCCTGCCTCGTGGCCTCGTCGGGGATCTTCTGACCCGGGTCAATCCAGACAAAGGTCAGCAGGAAACCAAAAACTGCAATGCAGGAAAACAACACTGCAACGCAGGTCTTCGCAAATCCTGCAGAATCTGGCGCCCTGGCTGACCCCCGCTTGCATTGACCCCCGTCTCAAGGCTCCCGACCTTCGGGAGCGGCCAAGAGGGGGGTGTCCAAGAGGGGGGGGTGCAAATCATGACCGGCGGCATGTGCGCGGCCCAGCGGGGGGGCCAGGAACGTAATGAAATAAGAAGAGGCGCCATGACATCTGGGGAAATATCATGGCCCACGCCATGATATCCACCCCCCCTAGTCATCACCCCCCTCTTTTCCGCCCCCGAGTCTCAAAGCTCCCGACCTCGACGCCGGGCTCGGCTCCCACGAGCGCATTGCCCTCTGCAGGCGCTCGCCCGCGCCCGAGCAAGGTCTGGGCGTGCGCCCCGCGTGCAGTGCTCGGCGTGCCCGCTGGGCTCGGGGGGGCCTCTGCCGGCCCGGGTCCATCCGGCCCGGGGTCCGCCTGAGTGAAGGGGCCCTGGGACACACAAGTAAATAGACACCAATAACAGGATTCCCCGTGTTTTCCTATATGTTCTGGGTTGTTTGTCTTCCCCCCCACTTCCTATATTTTCTGGGGAATCGTCGATTAATTGTGTCTGTGTGTTTTTTTCCTCCCGACTTAGGTCGGGCGGATTTGGGAAAAACAACCGAACATAGTCAAGCCAAATGTTCAAACCAGTGTTCCGCAAAAAACGAAAAAAATCATGCCAAGACTATTTCTGGACTGTTTTGGGGTTTTCCTGCTGTAGAGGGATGGCCCGACTTGAGGTCAATGCAGCCCTGGGTCTGCAGGATCCTGTATGATCAGGCGGTCTTGCTGACCCCGTTTGCATTGACCCCCGCTCCTGGAGCCCCGTCCCCCTTCAGGGTCGGTGGCACCAGTCGTAAGGCCTCCGCAATTCACACACCGACACTCGGATGTCCACACGGATTTCTTGCGTCAGCGGTGTGCCCGCCCCGCCACGTCCCTCTGCTTGTGTCGGGGGCGCGCAAACATGGATCTGCGATCCATGGACTTGGTGCGCGGTCGCCGAATCCATGGATCGGGTAAGTGCGGCCGGTGCCGCCTCGCTCGGCGGCGGAGATGCGCTACTTCCTATGGCAGCGGGGCCCGTCGCTGATCCACGCCCCCTTGATCCATGTTGGCGATCGCCTGCGACTATCGGAGGTCAATGGGCGATGCGAGCGTTTTTTGATTCGGCGTTTCGACATTGGGCGGAAGGGGGGGGGGGCGGGAGGGGGGGGGTCTGGCTCCAGGCCTCTGCTAGCTAACATCCATGCTTGCGATCGCCTGCT